TACATGTAAATCATTCTCAAAAAATACATTACCCAAAGGTATTCATATTTTATGCTAAATTGTGCTCCTCTTTTTGACGATGTGTTATTATCGTTAAAATACAAATAATTGTCACAAATCCATGGGCTTGTCCTATGTGTTATTCAAATGGACAAATCATTATTTACAAATGTATTATTAAAATTATTGTTGTATTTCTCAGAATCGGTTAGCTATACTGTCGAAGTTTATTTATTTATTGTCAGGGGTTAAATGTAAAAGCATATACCCACTGTTTTATTTATTTATTTATTGAAAATTCTGTAGTATTTTTTTTGGTGACCTTGGCACGTCGTGGGTCATGTTAAAGCCTTTCAGGTGTAGACATCCTGCATTAAACGTTTTGGTTTTAACAGGCATACATAAACTGGTCATTAGTTTATAACTGTGAATTGTGAACACATTAGACAATGCGCATTTCGTGTCCTCATTTGCGAATTGTATTAAGTGAAGAGATTATCAACAAAAACAAGCAGATCAAAGCCTATGCCGGGTCTTTAGTATATTGTTTGATGACCAATTACGTGAGGTACATAGGTAACATATAAATTAAACACGTCGTTCTGAAACACTTGCGAGTTCATCTCATTTACGAGTGAGCTTATCATGATTGCTCAAAATTTCCTGTATGTAAAATTTGGTCAAGATGTAAGAACAAATTGGGATATTCAAACATTAATCTGTGATTGCCTAAAAATGACGTCATGGGGGCGGATATATATAGAGCACGTGATATGACACATGTGTGGCATTGTTTTCAATCTAATAATAATATTTGTTCTTTGATTCAGGGAAGCAGCTACTCAGGGATAGCCATGTGATGAAGAGTTCAGTTTCACACACACTTCCCTATAAACATGTTCATGTGGCTCCTTTTCTGAGTCCAGCATTGTACGACTTTCCGATAATATCAAATTCTGCTATTATCGTAATATATCAGGCACAACTACAGTTACTAAACAACTGCCCTAGTTTACTCAGGTTTATTCTTTGGGTTTAAAGTGCAGGGTGAGTTACTAAAACAAGCGAGAATAACATATAATAATATTGCAAAATGTACAATCATTGTATGTGAAATCGATATGAAAGTTATCATACACAGTTTCAGAATCACAAATCCTAAAATAAAATTGTATATGCTATATTTATTACAGTTGCGGCACCCCCCCCAAAATCAAGCTGAAACCTTTTGTGTCAGCAAATTGTGTCTCTCAAAATGCAGGAAACAGCGTTTCAGAAGGTCTAGATTTCAGATCTCACCCCCTCATGCAGAAATTGCATATTTACGCGTTTAAACTTTACAGAATAACATGATTTCGAATTTGCTTCACTGAAATATAATGCCGCTCACGAATTACACAATGTATATGTTTGGTCACGTTGAATTTACGACCCATCTGAAAGCATGAACGCATCGTAGCATTCATGTCTATTATCACGCCAATTAAAACACACTAATAACACATTTGACAAAATGAATAAAAAATGACTTCTCATTTCGCGTGATAATTACTTCATAGATTATACAAAATATACGGCTTTACGGGCATCACACAAAACAATGATAACTCGCTTTTTTATTACCAATAAACAGAGTTGATCGACCATGAAATGCTAAAAAGATGCTTTCGTTAACGTCCTAACGACAATTTAAACACGACATGACGTATAGATTATACAGTAGTTCGTCAGACATGTTGTTTTTACACATCGTTAAATCTACAACATATCAATTCGTGCATTGATTGTTTCTTTAATGAAAACATTACAAACACACCATCTTTCTAAGATGCCTACAAACATTCTTTGTCATTGTTCACTTTTTTCTAAATTCATGTCAACGTTGAAACAAATGGACATATAAAGTGATGGAACTCTCTTTATATTTTATATAACGCAACGTAACTAGGTGGAAGTTTGCCACTGAGCTTTATAAATACGCTGAAAAGCTGTTCGAAGGATACAAGGGTTAAGTGAATTCATCTCTTATTTGCGGCAGACAAAAAATAATAGTCGTTTTATCGGATGTAGTGTAATCCTAGCGCGCAAGTAGGAAATAAGAACCAATATATGAAATAGTTGAATATTTTGCAGAAAATGAGCATCTAAATATATATGATTGGGGGAGTTAAAAAGTTCAGCTGATACAATTTCCAATTTAAAACTTATAGGAACATGGTTTATTTACACAATTCCTGTCTACATCATATGTATTTCAACATGCTACATATAAAAGTATGCTCGCATTCACATTATAGAGTAAGTCGCATTTCTCATTATTGTTTGCTGAAAAGTCGTACTTTTTTGTAGTCAATAAAGAAGTATTTAGAGCTCAGTTTTTCATTAATCGTTGAATGATCATTGTTGTCGTTCCACAAATGTCACTAAAACATGTTTCCTTTTCCTTAACTGGTTACCTCTGCCCGACCGTGGTCGCTCAATCACTTCAAAAGTTTGCCCCTCTGCAGCTGTTCTATTTGATGTGCATTTTTTACAAAAAATGCCAACAGTATTTAGCATCATGTATTTGTATGGAATTGAGGTTACAATATAGATGGAAATGGTTTTATTCTATATGATTGTATATGATCAACTGTCGGGTCGCACTTGGTTGTGTCACATGACCTAATTAATATGCATTACAATTATTTAAAGCAAATTATAAAATATACACACATAAAACATCAAAACAACGTGTAATTACATTCCCATTTACACGGAAGCATTCCGGGGACTTTGCTATTCTAAATTATTCCTCTATTTCAGAAATGTTAATGTGTGACAGTCTAATGTGCTATGAATAGAATTACGTACACTCATCGGGATTAAGAGGATTCCTAATATCAGCATATGTTAGACTGTTTTTATTGTTTATCACACGAACAGAATAGCCATTGGATTAGTTACGTATGTAAATATACCTCCATTGTTGACTGATTCTACATTGTTAAACAGATATATACGACTCCATATCATACTCAATTCAAAGACCAGCGTAATTTAAGGTAGGTATAGTTATAGTACAAACGGTTCACTTCATCATCTTGTTGTTCGGCACATACATCTCATTTCGTTATATTCCCATTCAACATTAGCGCATGGGGCCACCTGACGCCGTGCATGTAATATAGTCCTAAACAAAAACAAAATCATGGATAATTTAAAATTATTGAAATACAGATGTTCAATATATCACTGACGACTTTGTCTTCGTTTCTTAATTCCACTACGTGCTGCTTCTGAGACCTCTGCATAGGTACACTGGTAAATGAATGGAAACGCTGTAAATTACAAGCATTATGAAACAATTTCAAATCATGTATTTTGTGTGTAAATCACTTAAATTATTGTCTATAAAAATAACACTTTCGAATGTATCATTTTACATACATTTACACCTTTCTATAAGATCGTGTCTTTATAATAATAAAAATGGTAATTCACTTTGTTCGGGTTTCCAGAACTTGATGAACCAACACGTCTGTATTACATGCAGTGGGCCCTCGTGCAAGAATATTTCAATATTTCGTTAGGTAACAGTAAAATTAAATTCAGTGTACTGATAGGCACCGTCTAATCTTTTTGTCTGCAATATTGTTATTAAAATGAGGTGTACGTCTGACAACGAATTGGGATTATATTATTGACACCATATATCAAATTTAATCTTACCTTAGTAGCCTTTAGTGGATATTATTTAAACGAATTATTAGCGGAACGGATTGCAAACCTTGCATTATAAAACACATTTTATCAGCTCAAACAAGTAATATATAACCAACTCGTCACTATGACGACGTTGTTTTAAACGCTAACTATCCTCAATTTTAGGAAAACAGTTCGTTATTTTCAATTAAATTTAATTTATGACTATGATTCAATTAAAAAAGTAATGAATATCACTTGACTCATTTATTTCATGTTTTCAATTTATTTTTGTTTATTAGCAAAACGGAATAAAAACAATCCATGTGTTGTATATGTGCGCTGCTGCGTAACCATACTAAATGCTAGATCTGTTACGGGTCAGTTTAATCAACAAATATTCTTGACCTTACATTTAACTAAATTGGGGTAATTGAAAACAAAATACAATAAATATAATACTATAATTCCAATAAATTCCTTGATTATTCACTTGGATTCAATTATGCTTTATTTTGAGTATATTAGCTGTATTAATTTGACATCTTATCTGATGTGCCTAGCAATAACCCAATAATTGCTTCCATTAAATTTGTATTATAAAGTTATTCCGTATATCATTTATTATCATTGCAAACTCGAGTGACTATATGTTAATGTATTGCTTATTTATTTAAAAAACTCAATGTAAGGTATCGGAGAGTATTATAAATGACGCTAGCCTAGTTGAAACTGTACGTCCACCTTGCACTGCTAAATAGTTGCCTTCTATTGTCTATTGCTAATTTCAATTTATATAGTAACCCAGACTATTTATATTTTTTAAATTACGTTCACAATATTTTTTCAGAGCATTCCGGTAATTCCATAAATGCATTCTGGTGAGAAAGCTGGTAATAAGAATGCTTTAAGATACTAAACTTGTGAATATATGTATATTTGTAATAATCCCTCGTATATGTCAGGTTTGAATATATTTGCATCGCTAATAAGCTACCTCGATTATTGTTACTAGGTGGTTAGTGGTCTCGGAAATTGATTCTCGGCTAATAACATCAGCGTTAAAATATACCTCTCAGTTCATTCACTTAGCGATTAAATACTAAATATATAGCAATTATATCATTACAAGTGTACTGGAGACATATATTTTGCTGAAACAGACATTTATATTTCATGTCTTTCAGATCGTATATAAAAATAACATGGTTGCCAACAGAGCTATACATCGTTACTCGCCAAAGCCACATCACGTGATCCCGATCATCGCTAGTTTGTTGTTTCTCGTGTTGTATCAGAGTGTATTTACCAAGCTTGTCAACTTAGGTAAGGTGAAGACAATCTTTTACGACGGTGATGAATATGAAACGTTGGTGGGTGCTGTGAATAGCACAATTCTAACAACAATAACAATACATTAACAGTTATCTCGATTGTAAAAACAATATTGACCCCATAATCTTACTTATTGTTAAATATTCTGAGCAAATTTTTATATACGGTATTGTTGTATAACAACTATTATTTATAATGACAATTTATTTATTGAATGTAAATTTCCTTATATATGTCCTTATGTAGATGAACTTTTAAAAGATATGAGTAAAAAATGTAGTGACAAATACAGTGCTATATACATTAATATATTTGTATTCCTATCTCGTAAACATTTAATGATGATACGCGCCATGTTTGAATAATAAAATAATTATTCATATTTGTAGACATCTCAACGTCTCCGGCAGATGTTTCGGAATACAAAACAAAATTTACATCGGGAAAGGTGAGGCGAATTAACCAAGACCACAGCAAAACAAATCTTGATTCAAAAAGAAAAGTTGGATTGGTTACAGAAACGGGAGCGAAAACGAAAACTATGCGAAAGATGGCTAGATCGAAAACAAAACGTTTCTGGATGCGGAAAAATAAGACATCATTTGACACGGTAGGAAACAATATAACATGTAGTAAATATACATTTTATAATGCAATTATTGTTCTTAATCCAAGCCCCAGCTATTTAAATTTATTTTGGCGAATTTTATGAATGTGCAGTAATGTAAACATCCAAGCAACAATACCCAACCATAAGCCAAACAATCAATGTCAAAAGGCAATATTTACAAATCAGAGAACATAGGGGTTATGTCAGGCGTTTCGAAAATAGTGAGCACATCCTGCTCCACATGCGGCACCTGCCATATATCTCTCTGAGTCAAAATCGTGAATTTTAGGTCATCCCCGTGCAAGACAATTGACATCCAGCGCTTATATTATCATCTGTTTCATAGAAACATGATACTTGTCCACCAGCTGAAGATACTTGCCATAGAACTTATTGAATGACAAGATCAGTCTTTCTCTTATAATAAATAATACATATTAATACATATTAAATACATACATAATAAATACATACATATTAAATATGCACACTGAACGTCTTGTCATTGTACGTGTTGTACAGAATTTATTCACATACACGCAGGTATATACCGCCACCTTGTTTATCTATAATGGTAACAGTCCATATCATATATGCGTCACCATTTTGTTATTTATCCTGTTAGCATATATACCATTTTCCTAGTCTAGTGTATTTGAATATTTACATCCTGATTGTGTAAACATATACCGATCTCTTAATATAGTGTATTTGATTAATTACAGTCTGGTTATATAATATTGGTCCCACGTAGTGTATTTACTGCCTGGTTTTGCTAGCATTGACTAAATTTAGTGTATTTGATAATTCACAGCCTGAATGGAGAAAAGAACTGATGAAAAATTATGAATGCCAACAAAGAAACCGAGATAGATTGATGACTGCCCGACAAGCTTGCATTGCCTACAATTTACGACCATCCAAACGACAAAGGCACATCGGCAAATACATCGTTTCGAAGAAATACAAGTTCATGTTTGCGTTAACGCCTAAAGCAGCATCGACATCCTGGAAACACTTCTTGCGTATAGTTGACCCTGCTTGCCGAGGGTCTGTATATGATGGCGTGAAATTAGACAGGCAAATGTTAAGCATATCAAGTCAAGACGAAAAAGAATACGTTCATGCAGTGTTCTTTCGTGAACCACTGGAGAGACTGGTGTCTTTTTACTACAACAATTTACACTATTCTTCCCCACACTCGGGAAATAATAAAGATTTTGATGATGAAATAAAGAAAATCGGAATCCGTAACCACAGTGTGATGCATTTCAAAAGAAAAGGATCCATTTACAATATAACATTTCCAGAATTCGGACAGTTAGTTCTTTATTACAGGGCAAATGGCAGCGTTCCAATATCTGGTCATGTCAGACACCAGCATTTAGGAGCGAGTCTGTGTTCGCATATGTTTGACTTCATTGGACACTTTGAGACGCTTGTTCAGGACGCCACCTGTTTTCTTGAATTGATTGGCGCTGCAGATTTGTTTAGTTTTCCAGAAACTCACATACCAAGAGGAAGCACATTATTTAATGATACACTGAAGAGCTTGCCGAGAAGCGTCTTAAATGGCTTGATTCAATTATACAAGATTGATTATGATATACTAGGTTATGCCGTTCCCAAGATTTGGTCAACCGAAAATAATACCGCTGCCGTATAGTTTATCCTAATGTTTATGTTTTGCGTTTGTTGTTCGTTTTTCTTCAAGTACGACATTTCAGAAAAATCTACCTTGCATATATTTCGGAGTATATTTAGTGACCATGACAACACTAGATGTAGGAAAAGGTGAAAATGATGGATTTAATAATGTATTACGCAACAATTGTATCCTGACATCTTAAAGGCGTTATACCCCCACCCCATTATAGCATTCTTATTATGAAATAACAAATACGTCAAAATATGACAAAACTAATCTGGAATTGCACAACGATATATCATGTGACCTTTGTGTAGTTTAGTGTCAAGTCAATTATTAGAAGTTCGTTTGAAAATGCTCACTACCGATGATCTTGAATGCAATGATACGTTGATGAAATGTTATCTTGAGTAACGAACATTTCCGCTAAATCAAATGCATCTTCCAATGACATGCACGATATATAACAGTGTTACACCAAATAACTAGATGCGGCGCAATTACTGTTCTTTATTGTGAACAGCTTAATAAGTTAAAGTTAATTTCTCTATTTTCTCCAAGTTTGCCACGAGGATAAAATATAATTCACAAATGTACAATAATTTATATATATTGCGTCAAATAGCCAACAACATGTGTGTGACGATATTGTTATTTTGCAGATTTCTTCTTGTGTTTTTCCTTTATAAATCTAAATACAAATCTAAATGATACGAATTTGCTATTTGTAAACATTATAACTTTCATTTTATCTCAACAATCGGGTGACTTAAAATAACTGCGATATAATGTCGGATAACGCTAGTTATAGTACATTAGACATAAGCAGATCGTTGTTCTATCGCTAATCAATACAAATTTTAGCCCAAGCTGCAGCTAAATTCCACTATAGTTTGTACAGTTATAACACCTTTGCATTTTACCAGTTTGATACGCCTTAAATGCAATACTAATATTATATTAGTAACATACATAGTCAAGCTCTAGTTTGGTACAAGTTAGAATTGTCACAATTTTCATATATTGTATTTTACTATAGAATATTATTGCTCATTGAAAAACTATAAAAACTATAATGCACACATGCATTTTGTATTATTGCATTTTACCGTAGGATCGCATGTTAAAGGGTCCATATTTTAGAAAATTTTCAAATACAAGCGATTAGATTACATCATTGTATTTTAACATAGAATACTTATGTGCAAACATTTTCAATTGAATCAGGTGATATATATTAGTGATAAATTTATATAAATAAAAACATTATGAACACAAAGTGCAGTTTTTGTTTGAATCTTGTGCTCCTGTAACCTAATATGCTTGATACGGTATTACCCGTATGTTTAGCAATTTTAAGCAATATATTAGTAAATCAGCATGGTTAAAGACTGTAAAAACAATATCCTAATAGTCCTAATCATGATACAATGTTTGAGTGAAATAGCCGTCTATTTCGGTGAAACGGTTCACTTATCAGGTTTTAGCTGAGAACCGAGATAGCCGTTAGTCAGCCATATTTATTAAAATGATAATAAAAATTAACATGCATGTGTAAGTGATCATACATGTTGTGTTTGAATGTGACCAGAAAAATGATTGTGTACGCATGCAGACATGCACGGGTGGAATCCTAATTAATAGTCCTGAATCAGAAGTTGATGGTTTTGTTGGTGAACTTATCATAATCTCATGGTTAGAAGATAATTGTTAGTCTTGTCAGTACCCTTCAAAACAGTCCAAATTACGTGATTTTTTCTTTCAAAACTGCGTAAATTAGTTTTAACAGAGTGCCATTTACAGAAAGAGATGGTACATTAAATTGTTTCCGTAATATCAAAATTGAATCTTAAGTATTATCCGTGAATGTTTCTCTGACAAGTACGTTATTACCAATCCCGTGGGTTTTTAATGCTGAAATCGTACAGTTGTTTTTGAATTCTAGAATACATATCAAAGAACAAGAAAAAAAATTGTTGACACTTTGCTGACATGCTATGAACAAAATGGCCGCCATAAATGGTGTGTTATTCTACGAAGTACGAAGTTGTTTCCATCGATATGATGACATTATTTAGTCCTGTCTTGTGTACACGATAAATGCTAAAAATTTATTATTTCTATATTGGTGAAAGCAGAACTAAAGACCAAAAAAAAATTATATACAAGATAATTAGTATCTTTATCGTTGCCATGGTTTCATAACATGAAGTGATGAAATATGGATGACTTTAAAATGGCCATATGAAGAGAGCTCGATTAACATGGCTTAAATATAACTGTTTTTATAAGAACGGAAATTACCTTGCAGCTAGGAAACGTAGCAGTGTAATGAAAATATTTCAGCGGGATTAAGTAAAATACGACGTTCTGTGAGTGAACATTTCACATTTAGCTGTTTGTTTATCGTCTGCGATGTTTCCATACTAGTTGTAGTTATTCAACTATGATGAAATTGTTTTTGCGTATCTGTTAATCGACTTAATTAGCTGATTATTAGCATGTGATCGTGCTGTCGACGGCCGCGATTGGCCGATCGCTTGGTTACACCGCCACGCCTTAGTTTTTTTGACCTTTTAATATAGAGATTGTAACCTTAGTAACGAGAGACAGTGCAGCGAAGGGTTACCTCAGCGAACCGTTTTGAGATAAGCAAGTCAATTTGTAGCCCTTCCCTTGTTTTTTGATTCATAACCGTTGATATTTGTGACTTTATAACCATTGTATTTAGACATTATAATCATTGTACTTAATTAGTGTGTTTTACTCTTTTGATTTATACCTTTTTCTTAGTATTGTATTTAACCCGTATGACGATGAGTAGAGGACGGTATCTTTGATTTATGAACGTGTTATTCCAGGAGGCATTGCTCAGTTTGAGTGAAGGGATGTATGATGAAATTGTTTTTGCGTATCTGTTAATCGACTTAATTAGCTGATTATTAGCTGAATGGCTGCGTTGTGTCCGTTTAGGCGAGGTTCTGAACGGAACTTGGCTCAGTGATTTGGAACTAATTACGAGATAACCGTCACTATTCGGACTACTATTTCTGACAGTTGGTATTCGTAGTTATTAATGTAGTGAACGACTAATCAAAAGATATGACGTGTCCAGTACTTAGTGTGATTGGCTTTATGATTGAAGGTTACGCCCTAGAGTCTTTTTACTGCTTTGTAATTGGTTAGAGTTTCGAAAATGAATAATGTTGTTTTAGTTGGTCTTGGCGAGTACACGACGACAGACGCAGTCCAGTCCTAGAGAGCCTTGAGGCAGTCCAGTCTTGGGCTAGTCTTGGGTCAGCCTTGCGATAGTCTTGGGGACTTTTCCCCAGGGCGCTGTGTCTTATAGAGTACTCGACTGTCCGACTAAGACGAGAGTTGAAACGTATTTCGTTGTGTGTGTCTTATTTGACTGTAAAGCTTAAGTGACTTTCCCGATCCTGTACCTCAAGGGGACGCGATAGAGAGACGAGACGATATCCCCCCCTGACACGTGTGGAGAACCTCAGAGGAGAAGAATTTTCCCCGTGATACAACAATCGAAAAGAGTTTCCTTGAGACCTAAATAAAAAAATTAATTTACCTAATATTTAAAAAATAAATGTGTGACACATTCTACAAGATAAGCTTTTATTTTCAATATAAATATGTTCTCAAATCATACAACATTACCTCTATGTGTGTATACTTCAGAGACGGTATATGTTTAGCATTGTGACATTCACCAACATCTAGAATAGTCAGCACTTCAAGTCTAAAACTTTCGAAGATTGGATTTCTGATTGCTAAACCCAGGTTCAATGCAGCGGCGATTAAACAAAATAAAGCGTTTATTGAAATCGCAGTATCCTTAGGCAAAAGGCATCTTTAATTTCACGTATCTGTGAAATGCACAACATAACCTAAAGGGAGTCAAGCGGAAATGAGAATACATTTTTTTTTAACCTAAACCGCTAAACAATGATGGACGTCTTTCGCGGTCAGTGATATTCACAGAAATATGTTTACAACTGCACATACCTTTTATACCTGACTTTGCAATTTCCACCACCAATTATATATAGTGTCACAGTATTTCGGCTCATTCTAAACAAACTGAAAATCACTCTGGATATTTGTTTACTTTTGAAGTTCTAATAATTTCATGGATGTACAGTACATACATATACATTCAAAAATATCCATCAAATATTAAAATAAGAGTTTGTATAATAACCTGGACAGAAGAAACCATTATTTTGTATTGCCGTAATTGTGTATTTATTGATATATGAAATTATATGTAATAATTACACGATTCTTCATCAATAAGTGCTAATACAAATGTGGTGCTGTTTGTATAAATTCTCAATTATATAATTTTAATTCCATTAAAAATCTGTCGTACGTGTCGTAAGTTTGCGGTATTGCACCGGGTATATGCATCCTACCATATTAGGAAATGCGAATTCCAAATATGGAACGATTATACGCATAAGCGTCCTCTAATAATAAAAAACAAACCCAGGCACTATGCGGTCGCATCGACCTCCGTTGCTCGTCGTTCGATACTGCCGCTGTAACGTATTCGTGTATACTTTTCGGTATTCTCGCAATAACCTGTTATTAAGTAACCTTAAACTTATTTTTGCATATAATATATAATATAAATATAAACTGTATTGTCAACATGTATAAATCAATTTAATTCGTTTCAATTATATGATAAATTTGGGAATATTATTTGCAAATCATGAAAACAGCTCACTTTATTTATATGTATATTCTGAATCATATATACATATATTCTTTATAGACAAGTACATTATCTACAAATAATTATTACAGACTACAATATCATATGTATATAATTTACTCTAAACTGTTTATTTGCACTTATTTACAAAACAGTGTGTTCACTGACTCGGACATATTATTACCAGTAATATTTCTGGTTGTTATTTGAGCTAATAATATGCATGACGCAGGACAGTTGAGTTGAATGACGCCAACCTTCAGCGTTAAGATTCCACGTACTT